GAGTAACTTTGTAAACTTATGGTTTACAATTAATTAATATATTTATTGATGCTTTCAGATTTCAGGCCAAAGATTTAACACCGGACATGAAGCAGCACCTAGTAGTAAAGTTTCCGATGGAAAGATGTTTAATCCATTCTAACGTTTACTGACCTGGTAGAATAAAATAGAAAAAAGATTCTACAGGTTTGTTGTTTTTATGTAAATGAGCTTTAATTTTTTCTTATGAACAAATGCATGTGTAAAAATTAATATTTTTGTTGACATCGGTTAGAAAGCTTATAACTTGAAATCGAACGACCCAACTTTTATAGACATTTTTATATCAGGAATGGAACATTATATCCAGTGTATTACTTTACTCTTCTTTCAGCTACTATAATTAATACAACATACAGGAACACCACGTGATTGGCAGCTTATTCAGGCTTATACAGCGTTCGAGTGAATTTGGAGTGTTCTATTATTGATTGGGATGTTTATAAAATTTTACCGGAAATAACGTCTAATTTTTTTTAAGTGTTAATAGCACTTTGCTTCTATTTTAACTCATTCAGTGCCAAAACAAATGACGAATATGTCGTCGTAAACCGACCGTGGGACGTATACGTCCCACGCGGCACGGAACATGTTAAAAGTATTTTAATAGTAATTTAATTAAACCTTCTTAATATTAACAAACATTATATACAATTTCGGGTTTCTAATATTACACTGATTCACTCTTTAAACGCCGCTGACACTTCTTGAACACTCAAACACTCTAATATCTCCTGTCCCTAAATATGTTGCCGAACGCATGATGTTCCTGCACATTGTTTTAGTTTTGATAACTGTAAGAAGAGCAAAGTAATACACTACATTCTATGGCGGATACAAAAGTTACTGTACGAGCTAAATAGATCGTTTAAAGGTTACAAACCTTCTGAACAACGTTAACAGCAAATCCTACATAATTTTCAATGATAAAGGTAATTAATAGACAAAAGTCTCGAACCTTGTGACGCGGTGTCGGAATAGGGGCCACGTTGACAATATTTCAGGTACCCGGGGTATGGTCACGAGCCAAGTCGATGGCGCGGCACGGACCTTACGCGGAACGCCACGTGCCGAAAAGGAGGGTGCCAGGCGTCTCGACGGAGACGCCGATCCGGGTCGATATTCTCGAGTTTCGAGCCACGGCCGTCTTCGAATTTCGGATAGAAGGGCCGGGTTTGGATGTAGCACGCGTGTTCGAGAGTTTCCGCGACACAAGAGAGGGGAGCAATCACTGGACACTTATTCTAGTAAAAATATGTTCCCTTTATGGGTCAAGCGGCCGGATCCTCTATGTCGGAGGCGAGACGGGTCCTCTCGGTCGAAGAGCACTAAGTTTTCACTCGCGAAGGCTGGGCTGCGGGTCAAATCGCACGAATCAGGCCAAACTTTGCCGGCCGCGAGGTTTCCGTTTCCGCAGTCCGTCGAAGAAAGAGAAAGATCTCTCCGGTCGAATTCCGTCGCAATCCCCGGAAATCGAGCCGAGAGGGGCTTGGGGAGGACCAACCATCGGCACCGTTGACCCTCGAAATGTAAACAGAACGATCGAGAAGTGTCTAGTCGACTCTAGCTCGATTGTTCGAATATTCTCGTCACACCCCTCCATCCTTACATTCGACGTGGTCGAGGGAGGATACGGCGGCGAAAACTTACAAGCTAATCGTACTAAATGAACGGCTTCTTTGGTGAACGGCAGGTACATAGTGTCGAAAAATAAAAAAAAAACATGGCACATAACAAAACGAACGGTGTCTGCCATTTAGTCTCGAGCCCAACTTAACTGAAGGACGGGGTCGAGACAGACGAGATCGTGAGCGAAAACAAAAATGTAAAATGTTACTAATCAAAACTTAATAACTAATCGCGGCTACCTGGAACCGAAGGAAAAAGTAGAATGAAACGGCGCTACCAAGATAGCCGGAACGCGAGTATAGCTAAGCAGGAACAAAAAAATGAACACAAGGAAGATGTCCATGGAGAGTCCGGGTCGAATAATGTCTGGTCCTCCGGAAATAATTTCCAGTCGACAGGATGTGCTCCGCACGGTCGAAAGTCGAGACGATCGGTGGTCCCAGGTCTTTGGCTTTCTACCAGTGACGGGGGTGACAGGTCGGACAATCCTTCGTGATGGTGTCCGCAAAGATCGCAAAGATCGCACGGTCCGCGTCATTTTTACCAATCATGTTTTGGGCTAGCTTAGTGCAAATCGTGCAAAATCGCCAAATAAGTACAGTGTCATACAGGAAAAGTGTGGTGAACTGTCATCACAGTGTACAAGTCCTTAGTTCACAAACTATAAGAAATTCATTGTGACCACAAGGCATGTGGACACTCCTATCGTAATCATGATGGATACTGTAATGGTATGCAGTTTGACCCGTGCCTATGCACCGAAAAACTGCATCCTTCAAGGGTTCGAGCCTCACGATTCCTGAGACCGAAATCAATTAAAATTCTAATATATAAAATAGAAAGAGACTGGCAAGAGAGCGAGGAAAGCGTTCACGAACAATCAGCTGAGCGCGTAAATATTATGGCGAGTCGGGAGGCCTGTCGACCGAATCTGGATTTAGCGAGTTTTTCTATCGTTAGGGCCTTTGCTTCCGCACCGTTTAGCACGAATTGGCGATTTAATTTTCTCAGAAAATTATTCACTGTTCCGGATCACTTTAATTATATTAGGTGCAATCCCAATTCTATTATCGTGTTTCCGGTTTTTCTGATGACGGCTGCAGGGAGAGGAAGGATGGGAATTTGACTCTCAGTGAGAACGGCTTATCCCGTTATCGGTACGTTCTATAGTTTCATCATTGAATCATTAGGATTTGTAATAATGGAATTTCAGGTTTTAGGATAAATTTAGACTGTTGAGAGTTTAGGGAAGTTAGTCCCTACTCCGTGCCCTAAGTTTGCCGATCTTCCGTTTTACTCGATCCGCGCGCCGAAATCTATTTCTAGCTCAGGGCTAGTTGACCATAAGGGAGCGAATTTGAGGTTCCCTTTTGAACCTTGGTCTGAGAATGCTACTCGACCTGTGGGATTGGCTGATCAGCCTAAACAAAATCAATCTCTACTCAATGAGTTTTAATGCTTGGGCCGCGGAGTAATTGGTTCCGCGAGCCTATGTTTCTTCCCGGAGTTATGCTCTACGGGGGTTAGTATCACTTATTCTAAATTACTTAGCCTCGGAGATCGGCTAGAAGAAGGTATAGTTTTTGGGAGAAAAAGGGGACTCGAGAGTCGGCGAAGTCCGAGACCAAGAAAGGGAGCGAATAGGGAATATTTAAACGGAGGAATTGTTGGAATTGAAGGATACGAGAGGGAACGGCGTGCCCGACTCGTTGGAGAAGGTACCTGGAAGCAATACTTATCTTTTCGCATAAAAATCCAATTCTTCGTGCGCGATCGTACCGATCGGTATTGCGTCTGAAATCCAAGAGAGCGCTCCTTTTCGGTGCTCCGCAATCGCGAAATCGCGATCCCCACCCTCGGCCTCCCTACTCTCTTTCCTAGGTCGCCGGGCATGCGCGAACGGTTCCCGAAACTATCCTCTCTGTACAGGGGCTCGCACTCGCCACCTGACTCGTTACAATACAGACAATGAAAATGCATCAACCTCTAATGTCCGCCCATCCAGCAGGGCAGAAACACACAATGAGACAATAGTAAGTAAACTTTGTACACAGCAACCAGCGCCTCTCAAAGAAGCCTCGGTCTATGACCTAATTGAGAAAAATGCAGGGATGCGGCATTTACTGCAACAAATAAACACGGATGAACACACCGCAAACCGGGCGATAAAAAAAGAGACAGCAACCAAACCGTTCCTATCGAACAAAAGACCCACAAAGACAGAAAAAGAAGTTATCATGGCAGCACCTAACAAAGATAAACAAAATAAACCATATAATTGGCCCGAAATGCCCAGGAAACCATCTTACGATGAACTGGCATCCATGGTAGCAGAGATGTCACAAAAAATTCAAACGCTAGAACAAGAGGTAAAAATTAGGAAACAAAAAACGAAAGAGGAACCAAGAATTACCGACATCAACATGGAAAACGAGAACATCCCCAACCCTGAAAATTGGAAAACACAGGGTAGGAAGAGAACAAATTCCAGAGAAGAAGAGGAGAAAGACCCGAAAAAAAAGATCCAGTAAAAATAGCAGTAATGGCCAAAGCCGAAACCAGCGCATCGCAGCCGAAAATCGCACATGCAGCCCAGATGAACACAACCAACCTGACAAGGATGGGAAACTTCAAGGGAAAACCGTCAGAAACTCCGCTGACCATCCCAACAAACCCAGCGAGAGAGCCATAAACGCGACAAGCACAACGTACAAAAGTAAGCCTCCCCCAATTAATATTTCAAGCACAGCGACCCGTCAATCCACAGAATTATTAAAAAGAAATAATTTAAGTAACTTTTATATTAGAAAAATAGGTAATTATAAGCATATAATACAAACGGAAGAATTAACACAGTACAAACTAGTTTGCGATTTACTAAAGCAAAATAACATAGAATTCCACACCTTCACTCCAAAAACAGAAAAACTGCATACGGTACTACTTAGAAACATTGACCCGTCATAAGAACCTGAAGAAGTGCTTCAGGAACATCAAAAACTAAATTCTTCGGACTTATAATTTATCAAGACATCTCGTTTCTCCACTAGAAAATCAACAGAAAAAGACAGAGTATTATCCATATTTATAGTACAATTATCCGTGGCTAGCAAAATAGGTAAACTTAAAGTAATTAAAACCGCATACCATACAAGTAGTACTGGAACCACTATGGGTAGACTAAACAAATGACGTCACCGGCGCCGAGTCAGTCACGTGCCCCACTCCTCTCATCTACCATAGTGCGGAGAGTGGTGGGGGTACGCTAGAACGCGAGTCGAGAATGAGAGACGGAGAGGGAGAAGGAGAGAGGGGGAGAGAGAGAGAGCACGATGGCCTTTCTACACGCGCATTCGCACGAGTGCCTGAAATCCGAACTTAGCCTCTTCTCGTTACCACCGACGCAAACGACGATCGATAATTCGCAATGGGTACACTATAAACCCATTTCCTCGTTGAGCGATGACTCACCCATCGAATTCGATGTGCCAGGACACGGTGATGGATACCGCGATTTTGCTCACACGATGCTCAGTGCTCGCATTGCGCTACAACCCGTAAATTCCGATATCGAGGTCAAAACTCTCAAAGATGTGGAAAACGTCGGGCCTATCAACAATCTTCTGCACTCCATGTTCAACCAGATGGATGTATTCTTCAATCAGAAACTCGTGTCACCGTCTAATAACGCCTACGTGTACAGAGCGTACATCGAGACCCTCTTGAATTACGGATCGGATGCTAAAAAATCGCATCTTACGAGCTCGCTGTGGTACGGCAATACAGCCGGTAAGATGAACTGCGTAGACGGCGATAACGAGGGTCACAAACGACGCTGCGCTTTGGCCGGCATTGGAAAGCCTATCAATCTTATCGGACATCTACACTGCGATGTCTTCAATCAAGATCGATTTTTGATAAACGGTGTAGAGACACGTTTGCATCTAATGCGCAGCCGCGACTCGTTTTGTCTCATGGACCCGACGGACTCGTTTAAAGTACAAATCGTAGAGGCGACTCTGCTCGTGCGCCGAGTAAACGTAAACCCCGGAATACTGTTGTCTCACGAGCGCGCGCTGGCTAAAACCACGGCGAAGTACGCGCTCACGCGTGTAGACGTGAAGGTCATGTCGATGCACGCCGGTTTGTATGGCGAGACACTGGATTCTCTGCCAATTGCCGAAACGAGTCATTCTCGGTTTCGTGGATAACAGAGCCTTCAATGGCGATCGCAAACTCAATCCTTTCAATTTTGCGCAACTACAACATCAATTATCTGTCTCTGTATGTGGACAGCAGCAAAGTTGTACGAGAATCTGCAGGCCATCACTCACCGTTCCTGGCCGAATATTCGCGCGTGGGTGCGAGAAGGCTAATCTCCTGTGCAACATTATGAACCGGGAGATCGTCAATCTGGAGGAGTCGGAAGAGTGCCCCGCGTTCAAAAATCTCCCTCAAGCCGGCGATCAGTGCGTATACCACGGTATACGCAAAGCTAACAAGCATTTCTCGTGCTCGCTGAACAACGCGAAGCATATACGCGAGTGGCTGGTGCGTAAGAGGTATCTTTAGCAAACAGACTGCCATCCGAGCTGTGCCGTTTGCAGCACCACCTCCACCACGATGTCGGCGGATACCGTCCTCCTCCTCCAGGAGTACGAGCGCACACCTCCCGAGCTAGGTAACGAAGGGGTGGACGAGCCAGACGGCGACGGTGGCTGCGCTACTTCATGAGCAACGAGGGCTGGTTATTAATGTTGCTAAATTGAACGGAGGTAGGACTACGGACTTCATTCGAGAACTATCCGCCCGGCGGTCAACAACGGCCAAACGAAAAAAAAAAAACCGATGGCCTGCCGATTCCGCTGCGTATGCCCCATCCATGAACAGCGTGGAGATTCGCGAGGCAGTGAGTGGACTACCCTCCAGGACTTCGGCGTGTATCCGGCCGATGAGATACCGAAGGTGTGGACCAAACCGGCATTTCTCGTGGTCAACACCGATGATCACACGAAACCCGGAACACACTGGATCGCCATGCACGTCGGCAGAGATGGACGAGGATACTACTTCGACCGCTACGGACTACTACCTATCATGCTCCAACACTTGGAAAGACTCCAATGAAACCCCGCGTCAGCACCAGGTTCAGTGTCCTGGAGGCGCTACCGAGCTCCCGGAATTTGAAGACGCTGCAAAAGGGGGGCCCCACCTAGGAGGGCCTCTTGCCCCTGCTCCTTGTCCAGGAGGCCACGGAAAATCTGGAGCTCGGCTGAGAGCGCACTCCGTTTTAGAATTTTCATTCCAACCCTTTGCTATTATCGCGATCAGGTACCCCCTTTTTGATATTAGCTTTTCGGGTCGAAGAATATTTCGGGATCGAGTTGTCGAGCGTCAGATTTGAAATTGTGTTTACCGGGAAGTGCCGTCACCCCTGATCGAGATTCGGATTGAGACTAGTTACTTGCGGAGTCCGAAAGAGTGTCGAAATTCTAGTCGGTCGAAATACATTGCACGAAATTTAAGTTAATGTGGACAGCCCCTATTCGGAAGTGATTAACGATCGGAAATTTGATATTATTGTTCGTGAGTTTATCGAACGGTGGTTGAAGTACGCGTATTATTTGGATATCCCTTCGATTGTCAGTGATATGTCTGCGTCTCAGATAAAGTTCCATTCTCTCAAACGAGTAATTTCTGCTTTGTCTGATCAGGGGGAACTTAATTACCGTTAGTGTCATTAAATTTAAATTTCAATTAATCTGAGTTGGGTAGTTCGCGGATGAACCTTCTTTATTTTGAGAATTCCCAACCTGACATTGAATTCTAATTGATTGACAATGTAGATTCAGTTAAGTCCGTGTGTCGATTGAACTATCAAATTTATACGAAACCTCGCGATTAACTTCACTCGTTCACCCATTATATTGTGTCATCTATGAAATTTTTGTGTTATTTATATGTAAAATTATTGTGTCATATATGAAACCTGTTGCGCTGTCATTCGTTTAATTTTAAATTTGATTGTGTCGGGTATTTCGTAACTTTTCATTTGAATTATTCCTTAGTCATCCCAAATAAAAAGAAATTCCTCTATCTTTTAAATTCTGAAACCTTGCATGTTGAGCGGTACACCGTGAATAAGTTTTCATATTATCAGTGCTACTTGAATTGTCGAACTATCACCCTGATATTAAATTTTGAGAGTTGCTCTGAATGTTTAATGGATGAACTGAAATTTTTTGATATTCGATTACGGATTTCACGGTGTTAATTTGTTTTGTCCCGGTTAATCGAGTCTCGCGGAATTCTTCATTTGTAATATTGTATTGTGTCTCTAAGAATTAATATAAAAATTTGATAGCGGAATGTAATTGGTCATTGAGCATGTATTCGGTATCGATCTGTCCATATTAGCTGTTTATTGAATATCACTATTGTAGGTGTGCCTGTGTTAATTATGAGTAATCCCGAAGTTGTTACTTGATATGTCTTATTGCAATTTGTTTCAATCATCTACTCCCCGATTGTTTGATCTTTCTATTTGAACCTGGACTCCGGAAGAATTTTTCTAAGTTCCATTCCTATTTGCCGATAATTGTTTCGCATCGAAGTCGTACCCTTTGAAATTTGATATTTATTCTCGACCTTTACTTTGAAATTCGATATTTATTCTCGATTTTACTTTGAAATTTGATATTAAGAATTTATTCTCGACTTTACCCTTGATATTTGATATTAAGAATTAATTCGCGACCTTTACTCTTGAAATTCGATATTAAACCTTGTTCTTGTTACGAGGCTACCCGATTTTCCTCAAAATAGAGAGGCGCGCATTCTATTAAGTATGAGTCAGTTACCGGAAGGTAAATATCGAACCCAAAGCAACGACAGTATCGTCCGATTAAACCGAAAAAATAACAACGAGTGGAACAATCATCGAGAAATGTTTCGGCTTATTCGCACACTCTCCGCATTGAACTGCACTCTGGACCAAAACACGGACTTACTCTTGCGTCAACATAGTGACTACCTCAGCACTTCCAATCAAACTTCTAACAACAAAATCCAGAAACAAAGAAACCGGACACTGTTCTCACGGGCATCTAAAGGATAAGATTTCGTATAAAAGCGGTACCGAAAAGCAGCCGTCAGGTAGTATAGAACAGTTTAACACTTTACCGACCGGAAGCCTATTAATCGGTTTTGCGATACCCGTGATCGCCATTTACTTCCAAATTCACCGGTCGGTAAAGTGTTAAGACAGCGTACAGAGCAGTCACAGGAGCGAGGCTGGAGCTCTCTGAAGAGCTGACCCTACCGTAGTAACAGTTGTGCGTTTCGGTACTCCGACATCCACGAGCCAACAGTGAGAAGAACGACGGCGCTGCGAATTCCGGACCAGTGGGAGAATCTTAGGAAGCTCCAATCCTAGGACACGTCCCGGTTTGAAGGCGTTTACGTGCAGTTCATCGCAACCGACAGGACGTAGGAGAGACGTCACCGGAAGTAAAAGCCTCTGCGAAGCCAAGGTACAGGTCCTCTTCGAAAAGTTCCACGCTTCCACTCTTCCACTCTTTTACTCCTTTATCACTCCATTTCGAACCCTATTCCAAATTACTAACCCGCAACAGAATTCGATATCTATCTCCCGGTAACAACTATCAAATTTCAACTCTTCAAGTATGAATCGCAACTCATTAGCCGCCCTTGCTGAGTAAGGCAAAGCGCACCTTGCAAGCAAAGAATCCCGCGTCAGCATTCCGCAATTGATACGCGGACGTATCTCGATTACACTTCCGCGAGGCGCTAGCGCGCGGCCTACAACGTCCTTGTCTCGACCCGCGACGATCTGCTTAGCGCAGCACATATTTGCACACCTTACCCCGATGGACATTGTACCCCTTACATCATAGAGGCAAGAACTGTTTCATTCAATACCAAACAACGATTTGATTCTCATGAAATCTTAAAATCCTCCTGTGTCCTCGTTGCAACTTTCCAATAGCCTTTGAGGACCAAAAAACCTATCGATCCTATCAAAGAGGTTGACCTAGCCACTCGGGTTATCCTCTCCACATCTCTCAAATAATAAACTGGTTACGCGTGCGTACGAGTTAATATCTCTACAAACAGTATACCGCTCGGAGGAATCTGCAAAATTCCCCCGGCCTCGCTAGCCACTCGGCCGCCCCGTAATATTCTTAACTTTTGCTTCTGAGCCTTGATATTAAAATTTTATTCTTAACTCTTACTCTTGAATTTTGGCATTAGCCCATATTCCTCAATCCTATTCTTGGACCTTGACATTAAATTTAGTTTGAAAATTCATTTTCGAAATTGGATATTAAATTTTGTTCTTCGTTTCATTTTTTGAATCTGGTCTTTAAATTCTGTCCCTATATTATACTCTTCGAATTTGGAATGAAATTGTACTTTTAAAATTTATTCTCGAGTTGATATCGTTGTATTGCTAAACTTATTCTTGAATCCTGGTTCTAAATTGTGGCTGAACTTTATTATTGCACCCCCCGCAATGAGACATGGAGGATACCAGTCTTTAATTTTATTAAGGTAGGTCTGCGATTTTGAATTCTGTCATTTGAATTTTTATTGTGTATTTGTTTTTGCGATTTCCATGTTTATGCATTATCTTGATTGAGTTTATCGAAATCGACCCCATACAATTCAGCGAATATTTAGTTGTATTTGTAGGTTAAATTTAAACTGTTGCCTAACAATAAAGTTGTTATTGTTGAACACCTAGTCTTGATCATTTCCGCCCCTGACCCTCTGTGCGCCCCAGTCCCTGGCTCTACGATTAAATTAGTGACCAAAAAGGGGGTTTTTGATCCGCGCAGCAGGTAAGCTGATCTGAGTGCGGATCAATAATTTGTTACATTTTGACGTAACAGGCGGGTCACCGATGAAATTCAACCGAAACCGTAAGTATCGGTTAATCGCCGCTGCATCTAAACATCCGAAAAAGAAGAAGAAAGACGGGTACCGAGCTCTTGTCCTTGGACGTTTGTCTCCGCAAAGTTGCATTTTTTTTTTTAATAATTTTAGCGTCGTTCTCGAGGCATCTGGGGGGTAAGCCGACACCTTGCGAGAAGGTCAATTTTGAATTCAACTATTCCGCGTGTGCAATCTCCATGGCAACGGACTTTGGACGAATAGCATAAATCGACGCGTAAGCAGTATCTCTTCAAAAAACACCTACGGTGTAAAAAACACTTTGCCAAATACATTTTTATTTCCGACTTTAATTACAAAAATAGCTCTACAATGGAAATCAATTATCTTTGCCAAATACAATAGTACTTTCATACTATTAAGACTNCCCCCTAGGCTTCTCGAGAGAGCAGCCGCGGCGGACTCGGGCAGCGAGAATTCTCACATACTACTCATCTTGACTAAAAAATCCTCCGATCCTACATTCGGCCGTCCTGATCTAACATCTGCCCTCAGATGTTGTACATATCCTCCTATTATTCTTCATCGGAATAATTACAATCGGGCAACCACGGTTTCATATGATCGGCCGACGTGGACGTTTCTTGTGGGCCTTCGTGCATTCCTACCTTCTGCACCACATAACGATCACGACGCATCTTTTTAATTATTCGGTACGGCGCTAAGAACTTTGGTTGGAGTTTCAACCCTGGACCTAGCTGAGTGCGCTTGATGGCAACTAAATCTCCCTCACTATAACATTTTGGCGCTTTTCGCTT